CCTTGAAATAACTATTGCCTTCATGGCTGCGTAGATGCAACACTAACATACAAGTTTTAGGGGTAGTTGAATGAAATATTTAGCAGTGCCACTTGTTGTCGGTTCAATGGACTATGCCATTAGTCCAAAAGTAGTTATTGCATGCATGCATGCCTAACACAAACTATATTCTATAGACACCATACCTTCATGAATGGGTGTTAACCAAATTATGGATCTCTTAATTATTTCCCCAAATGGAACCATGAGGGCCACAACTTATGTTGGGAAATGTGTATTCTTGGCCGGGAAACATGCATTGCCCTACAAAGTGAAATTTTAGTAGGGAATCCAAACCCCTCAAATCATCATGTACTAGGAAATTAAGCTTAATCATGTCCTAACCACAAAACCCACTTCAATTCCACCTCGAAAAGAAAATTGAAAGAACATCTCACCAACCTTAATTACTTACATACATACCTAGGAATCCAATGATGCTAATTAAGTCATAACAACTTGGATATGAATGACTTAATCTTTATGCCTAATTTGTGTATGTGGCACATTGTGACAAAGTTTGTCTAAAATTTTAATTTCCATTTCACAAAGGACCCATACTACCAACTTTCATGTTAAATCTAAATTTAGTATTGCAGTGCAAGGTGGAGCATGGATGTTGAGAAATGCAAAGGAAATATATATCAAACAATAATGTTTTATTCTCTTTCCTCTTTAGAGTGTTGGTAAAAGCTAAGTACATCTCTATCTTGCTCTCACATATGATTTCTTCCCTAAAATATTCTAAATTAATGAGTTTCGATATATGATTTAATTCGGGTGCATGAATATAGAGATAGACCAATAATCTAAACTTTGGAGGATGACACTTGATGGATTTAATTATCCGGGGTGGTCCCGAATTATCAAACTCGGTTAAGAATGTAGGTAGTAAAAGGATAAAGCGATGTCGTTGTAAGGTCGTTGGGACCATATACTGTATTAGATATCGCTAATAAGTTATTACAAGGCTTGATTAGGACAAATAGTAATGAAAGTAGTCAACGTGTCTCAATTGGACAAAGGAGGGGCCTTTTATACAAGCCACGAACCTCCTAACTGCCCGCCTAATTAGGGGGGACGGTTGTCCCCCGCTTTGACCGCGCCCGGTCCGGAGACCGGGCAACGCGGCCGAGGTCGGCTGCGGGCCTCGTGTTGACCTCCTGCTGAGGCGCCCGCCGGGGCCTCGTGCCGAGACGGACGGATCAGGCACGTAACGTCGCCCCTGGGCTCTGTTCTTGCTCCGTGTTCTCTGGTCGGTTCGACTCCATTCGTAATATATCCATCAACACTAATTTCGTACTTGCATTAGTAATGATAGTGGTGAAATCATTTTCAAGGCAGTGATCTATATGGCCAAACATTGGTCCATAATCAGGTGCGAACTACTGAAGGATTGCACCACACTTACTAAATGATTGCACTACAAAGGTCCTCAAATATGTTTGGAAGCCGTTGCGGTGCAGTCCTTTAGTAGTTTGTAGGTTTGCAGGTTGCGGTGCAGTCCTTTAGTAGTTTGTAGGTTTGCAGGTTAAGGGTGATTCACACCTGACTATGATTCACCAAACATCATCAACAGCTATTTTTTTTTTTTTCAATATAAAACCTTGTTGCGATGAGGATTGTATATTCAACGTAAACCAATAATAGTCTGAACAATAACAATATAAGGAGATAAGTAAAGAGTTCTAGCCAACTACTAATACAAGAGTCCTAACACTCCCCCTCAAGCTCAAGGTGGAGCAGTCGAAATGTTGAGCTTGTCACGAAGAAGAGAGAATCGAGTCGACGCAAGTGGCTTGGTAAAAATATCAGCAATCTGATCCTTCGTGGAAATAAAGTGAACCTGAATTTCCTTTTTGGCGACCTTGTCTCGGACAAAGTGATAGTCAATTTCCACATGCTTAGTCCGAGCATGGAAAACCGGATTGGCACACAGGTACGTAGCACCCAAGTTGTCACACCATAGACTAGGCGGAGAAGCTGGAGAGAAACCGATTTCCTTAAGCAGAGAAACAAGCCACGTCACCTCAGCCGCCACATCAGCTAAGGCCTTATATTCTGCCTCAGTAGAAGAACGCGCCACAGTGCGTTGCTTCCGGCACGACCACGAGATTAGATTAGAGCCCAAAAATATTGCAAAACCACTGGTGGACTTCCTATCATCCGGACTACCAGCCCAATCCGAATCAGAAAACGCATGCAGCGAGGTAGATAAAGACTTCCGAACACACAGCCCCATGCCAAGAGTGCCTTTCACATAACGCAACACCCGCTTCATCATAGACCAATCGGCAGTAGAAGGAGCCTGCATGCGTTGACATAGCCGGTTGACTGCAAAAGACAAATCAGGACGAGTCACCGTTAAGTACTGCAAAGCACCAGCTAGCCCACGATAGTGCGTAGGATCAGCAAAGGGAGCAACATCACCGTCCTCAGAGCGGGCAACTGAGATCGGGGTAGAAACCGGCTTACAGTCAACCATCCCTGCACGCTTGAGAATATCCTGAACATAACGGCGCTGAGACAAAAGAATACCATCAGAAATAGAGACAGTCTCAATCCCTAGAAAAAAAAGATGGGGGCCCCATATCTCGAATTTTAAACTCCTGAGCAAGCCGATCCACCAGTCCAGTAACTCGGCTAGAATCCGAGCCCATGACAAGAATGTCATCGACATAAACCAGAAAATAAAGCTGCACACCATGATCAGAATAAATGAACAAAGACACGTCAGTCTTCGATGGAGTAAAGCCAACGGAAAGAAGAAAGTTATGTAATCGGGTAAACCATGCACGCGGGGCTTGCTTAAGCCCATACAAAGAGCGCTGCAGATGACAAACATGAGTAGGAACTGACTTGTCCTCGTATCCCGGAGGCTGACGCATATACACTGTCTCAGCCAAACGCCCATTAAGGAAGGCGTTGTGCACATCCAGCTGCCGAATACACCAATCACGAGAATAGGCCAAAGAAAGAAAAAGACGAACCGTGGTGGGCTTAACAACCGGACTGAACGTCTCAAAGAAATCCTTGCCCGCAATCTGATTAAAGCCCTTGGCAACTAACCGGGCCTTGTGTCGCTCAACAGATCCATCAGCATTCCTCTTGACACGGAATACCCACTTGCAGCCCACAACATTCATCCCTGGAGTATAGGGAACAAGCTGCCAGGTCTGATTTTGAAGCAAAGCATTAAACTCAGCATCCATGGCCTCACGCCACTCTGGATGCTTGACTGCCTGGGAGTAACACGTGGGCTCAGGTGGATCAACAGTAGACACCAACGCCACATGCTCCTGTGGACCCGGGCTTCGTGTGGCCATAACATGAGAACGAGGACCAACCACCTTAGTCCCACGGCGAGGACGACCACGAGCCGGCCTACCACGAACAGAAACTGTCTGCTCACTAGACACAGAGTCAGCCGGTACCGGATCCGAATCCACAACCTGTTTCTCAAAATCACTAACCACCACCTCGGTAGTAGGAGGAGGCACAGAAACAACTGGAGCAACACCCCAAGGAGCAGCCGGGGGCCGAGAAACCACCTGCGAAGAAATAGAGCCAGCAAAAGGAAACACGGACTCATCAAATCGCACATGGCGACAGATAAAGACCTTATTAGTGTTAGGATTCAGACAACGATAGCCTCGAAAAGAGTCAGGATAACCTAAGAAAACACAGGGAGACGAACGATATTCCAATTTATTACGATTATAGGGACGTAACAAAGGAAAACACAGACAGCCAAAAACACGCAAGAAAGAATAAGAGGGAGGCGAACGATGTAGCCGAAAATGAGGAGACTCATCGTTCAACACACGAGTCAGCATCTTGTTAATCAAGTAAACTGCAGTCTCAAACGCATAATCCCAAAAACGAGAGGGAATAGACGCCTGAGCCATCAAAGCCAACCCAGTTTCAACTATATGCCGATGACGGCGTTCTACCCGACCATTCTGCTCATGAGTATACGCACAGGACTGCCTGTGACGAATACCGAGCGACTCGAAAGTAGAGTGGAGCTTTTTGTACTCTCCCCCTAGATCAGACTGAATAGACACAATTTTGTGGGAATATGACCGCTCAACTAGTGACCGAAACCGTTCAAATATAGAATAAATATCTGTTTTCGCACGCATAGGATAAAACCACACATAACGCGTAAAATCATCCATGAATAGAACAAAATAGCGAAAACCATTAACAGAGTACACAGGCGCTGGGCCCCAAATATCAGTATATATAAGTTCTAATACTCGAGTACTTTTAGTCTCAACACGAGGTAAAGAAAAACGGGAAGACTTCCCTAACTGACACGAGGAACACAAACGAGACAAATCACTAGAATTAAACGAACTAACACCGGATGTCTGCAATATCTAACGCAACACCCGTGTGTGTGGATGACCAAGCCGCTTGTGCCAAGTAGAGGACGACGCACGCGCAGCAACAAAAGCAGACGGACTCGAAGACACAGGCCACGAATATAAGCCACCGGAGGTACCCCCCTTAAAAACCACCTTCTTGGTCAAGAGATCCTTCACAAGAAAACAGTCAGGATGAAATTCAAAAAAGACACGGTTATCTTTAGCAAACCGCTGAACAGAAAGCAACGAAGAGGACAACCCAGGAACATGCAGAACATCATTTAAACTAAACGATCTAGAAGAAGAAGCTATCGAAGCAGACCCAACACTAAAAATAGGCATACCTGCACCATTACCCACACGTAAGGTGTCCGGACCATCATAACGAGCCGAAGAAGTCAACATAGAGGAGTCGGGAGTAGCATGATTCGTGGCTCCCGTGTCAGGAAACCACTGATGAGACTCAACACCACCGGTCTCACCACCCGAAACAACCATATGCGCCTGAGGATCTGTGGTCTCAGAATATCGCTGGAAACAAGCCCGTGCCGAGTGTCCAAACTTCTCGCAAATCTGACACCGGATGTCCTACCGCCCACGGCCACGACCCCGACCACCTCGGCCACGACCCGAGCCTCCACCGCCCGAGCCGCCACTGCCCGAGCTTCCACCGCCATTGCCCGAGCCTCCACGATAAGACTGGCCGCCACCGCGGCCTCCTCCTCGGCCACGCGACGCTGCCATAGCAGTCGGGGCAGCAGCATCACCACCACCCGGCGCACAAATATACTCCTGTGAAGTTAAATAATCAGAAAGCTCAGTTAAGGTTACCGGAGAGCCACGCGTCAGTGGTGCAACAAGAGGACGAAGCTCCGGTCGTAAGCCACGAAAAACGTAGAGATTCTGATCATCAAGCGTAATAACCCGGCCGGCCAGCGCCAAATCCTCAACCAGAACTCTCGCCCGACTCAAGTAATCCGAGACGGACGACGCCCCTTGGGACAGCCCCTGCAGCTCGCCTCAAAGCCTCAAAGCCCGGGAACGTGTCGCCGAGCCAAGCTCCTGCTCGATCGCCGACCACAGAAGCCGCGACGTGGAGCGCCCGATCGCCATAGGTAGCATCTCGTCGGACAAGGATGAAATCAATAGAGAAAGAACAGCCTTGTCCTGCCGGCGCCATTGCTGCTGCAGCGAAGCCAGATCAGACGGCCGGCCACCACTGTCCGCCGTCGACTCCACCGGGACGGACGACGGCAGTGCTGCCGTCGGACATGGCAGTGTGCCATCAACAAAACCAAGCAACCCTTGGCCTTCTAAGAATGACAACATCTGAGTACGCCAAAACAAATAATTGTGGGCGGTAAGTTTGATAGACACGAAGTGATGGGCGGAGGACAAACTAGTATTCGGGTAAACGGGAGTGGGGGCAACCTCGGACACAGTCCGTTCAGACGAATCACGAACAGAACCGCCATTGTTATCTCCCAAGGTTGCCATGAAAATAAGAATCCCTGGATACTGATACCAGATGAGGATTGTATATTCAACGTAAACCAATAATAGTCTGAACAATAACAATATAAGGAGATAAGTAAAGAGTCCTAGCCAACTACTAATACAAGAGTCCTAACAGTTGCAACCTTATATATAATTCTAAATTTTCAACCACTTTAGCAAGTTTTCCAGTATACCATACTACATATCTAGAAGCAGACTTCAACTTGATTTTCTGAAAAACCTGTTGTGCTGGACAAACAGGGTGCATGTAGATAAATTAACAAAGACAGACTATTTCTGTTAACTTTTCAAAGCTCTTGAAAACAATGTTGTTTTTGTCGAATAATTCAGTTCTGCCGGCTTGAGTGTGAGGTATAATATACAGACATACAGTAAGCTGTCACCATAATCTCTTGACTCTTGGCATATTATATTATATTCTACAACTCTACAAGCAGTTGCAGCTTCCCTAGTTATTATCATGCACAGTATTTGTATGAAACAAATTAAACCCAAGCGCAGCCTAGGAAAACGTAATCCAGCTAAATTAGTCAGACTGTTGGTTTGATATTATAATCACAAAATTCTAATTCAACTTTCAATGGAAGTGGTCTGACCTTTTAGTTTGAATCTGTCAACTATGAATAAACAACCTAGATTGATTTATTTCATTGTGGTTCTTTTCCAGCTACGATCATAAAGTGAGGTTTACTAAAGTGGCTACATGTTTTTGCAGTAAAAGTGACCTAATGACTTTTTTAGTTTGAGCCGATCAACTATATATAATAACTGATCGCAGCCGGCAGGCACGCTAGTTGGGTGTGCATGCACAATGCACTGCATGTTGAATTCATTATATTACTCAGCAAAAACCAATTAACAAACACATAAAGAGACAATGGTAGCTTTATTTAGGGTAAAAAGTGGGCATTTTAATTTGTTGTAGTTAATGAAGCATGCTTATCTTCTCTTCATAAAAGGACAAAGGAAATCGCAGTAGATGATAATGAAAAACGAGGTTGGTCCAATCTATTTTTTAGTTCTCTTTCTTATTTTATATATATCTATGTATTAGGATTCAGGTTCATGAACCTGGTGACACACATCCCTATCTGAATGGGATTAACTTTAATTGACCGTGAAATTTCAACATTAATTATTATTACTCCCTTTATCCCACAAAAACTATTCATCTTTTTACATTTTAAAATTTTGTTTTCTTGCATTACCTTTTGAAAAATGCTTTATTCCCCTTTAAAAAAATTTCATTCTAAATTCTCTTTTGACATAACTTGAGTGTTATAAATTAATTGATCCCATTAATTTGTTATCAAAGCAGACTTGTTATGAAGAGTAGTATGGAAAAAAATTTAGAAGGGTGAATATTATTACTTTTATTTTTTTTCTTTAAAATTTTATTTATATTTTTAGGAGATCAGATAAAAATTTTGTATCTTTTTCAGTCTTATTATTAAACTAGTTTTTTACGCGCATTGCGCAATTAGAATAATGTCCACGTTTTTTATTTTATTTTATTTTATTTTATTTTATTTTATTTTAAATAAGTACTTTAAAGTATATTAAGGTAAGATTATATTGGAATTGTTCATGCATAGATAATTGAATGTTGAATTTGTGTATTTAAATAGGTAATTCTAAGTTTACAAATGCAAGATAATATAGTCAAGATTGATTATAATTGTCAATATTATAATTGTATTGGTGTGGTTGAAACCAAATACAAGACATAAGGGAGAGCAAATAAAAATTAGGGCATAAAATATTAAATATATACTAATATTGAAGAGTTAACTGTTGATTGCCAAACAAGGACATTGCGAGGTAGTTTCCCATCTCAATTTGTTGTGTGATCTGAATACTCTTTTTGTAAATAAATTTCCCAAGTAGTTAATATAATTGACTTAATTATATTTATTTATTTATTTTTTAAAACAATTATTATTATTATTATTATTATTATTATTATTATTATTATTATTATTATTATTATTATTATTATTATTATTATTATTATTATTATTATTATTATTATTATTATTATTATTATTATACCATTAGGTCATTTTACATGTTAATCTAAATAGCTAATTTTTTCAAATATCTTTTTACCAATCGTTGATGTAATTCGCTGGTCAAATCCGTTAATATAATCCGCTAACTGCTAATTGCTGATTGTCAAACAAGGACATTGCGAGGTAGTTCTCACTTCAATTTGTTGTGTGATTTGAATACTCTCTTTGTCAACAAATCCCGTAGTTAATATGATTGTCTTTATTAATTATATTTTTTTTTATTTTTTTATGGTATTAATAAAATACTTGGTAAATAAATATATAGCATTATTGTGTATTATAACTTTGATATTTAATTAAAAAATAGTGCACAAAAAAAAAAAAAAGACAATGTAGTGAATATAATCAATTGATGAATTTGAATGTAAAGTATTTTTACATTGGAGAAATATAAAGACAATATAACTAATAAAATTATTTCTCTTAATTAATTTATTGATAATGAATAATTTTTTTTTTTTAATAAAGACATTGTAGGGACAATGTAGTGAATATAATCAATTGATGAAATTGAATGTAAAGAATTTTTATATTGGAGTAAAATAAAGACAATATAACTAATGAAATTATTTATCTTATTTAATTTATTGATAATGAATAAATTTTTTTTGAATAAAGACATTGTAGACACATAATTCTAAATTAAAGAAATACATATATATATATATATATATATATATATATATATATATTATTTTTTGTTGTAGCTACTAAATTATTATTTAATTTAATAAGAGTAAAATATAATACAGAGTACCAATTATGTCAACTTTGATTGGGATGAGGTTCGAACCTAAGACCTTTTTTTATTGAAATCAATGAGTAAATTAACGGTGAACTAACAGAAATTAACGGAAAAGATAATATTTAACGGAAAAGTTAACGGATAATCATATTCATTAAGGATAAATTAGGAAATCTAAAGGAAAAATTAAAATTTGATCAATCTGAGCCATTCATTTGATTAAAAAATTTGACCGTCATTTTTTCTATCCATAGGCCTAACTCTCTTGGGCTCTTATTAGTATAGTAGATAGATATATATCTGTAGTAGTAAATAATACAATTATTTTACCAATGATCTTATGATTTAATAGCACGAAATGACTCGAGCATTTGCAGGAGTAATTCGAGCCTAAGAACATCGAGTTTTTATGCTTTGTTGGAGGGAGAAAATTGAGGAAATAATTTTTTTTTTTTAAGGGAAAATGACACTTTTTCCCCCTGAGTTATATACCTATAGCATTTTTTCCCCCTAAATTATTGAAGTGGCTGTTTTCCCCCCTGAAATGTTAAATGGACATATTTACCCTTAAACTAAATATTTAATTTATTTTTTTTCTCCAACAAATTATGACCATAATTTGGTTCAAACTAAACAAACACTATAGCAACCAAACCGAAATATTCCAATTACAATTTAGAATCGAAATTCGATACTTAGAGTTTATTAAAATCGTGAACCGGAACGGACGGTTCATGTTTCGAACTGAAAAAATAAAATACATTTATTGTTGAATTTAGACTATTTTAAAATAAAGACGGTTAAAAATCGCGAATCGGATCCGGAACCGCCGGTTCACGGTTCAAGATTGAATTTTTTTGATACATAATTTTAATAAATTGACATTTAAATATTGGATTCTAGATCTGAATTATAACCGGAAACTATTAATTCGATTGCTTTAGTATCCGGTTCAATTCAAACCGAACCGTGGTCATCCCTACGTATACGCAATAATTTGTTGGAGTAGTAAAATAAATAAAATGTTTACTTTAAGGGTATAAATGTCAATTTAATATATCATGGGGAAAAAGCACCACTTTTAGAATAATTGAGGGGGCTAATGTGCTTACCTAAATAATTGAGGGGGAAAAAGTGCTATAAGTATATAACTCAGGGGTAAAAAGTGCCATTTTCCCTTTTTTTAACTTAGGTGATCCTAGTCGGACTAATTCTAAGTTCACAGGACCCTACCCCTAGAGCCACTGCGGAGGTAAATCGCAAGTTGCGCAAAGTCTTTATGTGCGCATAAGGGATCCAATCAAAAACTTTTTTTCTCATACATGTTTCCAGTAAAATTCAAACACCACAATGTTGCCTCCGGTCATAATCTTTAAATCCGACGACCAATCAACTACGCTAAGCTCGATGGGTCAAGAAATATAAAATTTTAATTTTGCAGTAAGTAGATTTTTTTTTTTTTTTTTTTGTGAGATCCACGCAAAGAAAAACTTTAAAAAAAAAATGCAGCTGCCTAGTTAGCACATGCACATGTCAACTGGGAGTGTATATTCATATATTTTTTTTCTTCTCTGACATCATTATTTTTTTCGTATTTTTTTTCTCTCCCTCTTCTCTCTTAAAGTCTTAGCTGATTTGAAAAAACTTGATAAAATCTTTCACGGATGGAGATGCTCTAAGTTAATGGAATAAATGGTTAAATTAGCTAGGAAGATAATATGAATCCCTAAGAAATTATTGCAAACAGTTATAATGATCAAATTAAAACCTTTTGACTCAAATCTATCACCAGCCTTTGAGATATTATTTTCTAGAAGGATCAAACACAAGCCGCCCACTAGAATCATGCATCAAATTATTATGCTCAATCATATATATAGCATCCAATTTTTTGTAGGAAAAATCTATTTTATTAATTTATGATAAAAATATTAGTTCATAGAAATTTTTTTACAATATTCATCATAAAAATATTCACTTCAAAAAATAAAAAATACGTGTCAGGAGTATATTTGTACACTTTATGTAACTGACTCAATAATTTTTACTATCAGTATTACTCCGTATAATATTTTTCTTAATTCGTAAATAAGTTCATAACTTATACATGAATATAAAATTTTTTTAATAATACTTATCTTAAGTAGTTATATTTATTTGAAAGGAATATATATATATATATATATATATATATATATATATATATATATATATATATATATATATATATATCATAAAAAAAGTAGTTATATTTATTTAATAGAAATTTTGTTTAAAATTGGGCACAGCATTTTCCAATTATGGCATGCTTGGTGTGCAATGCACCTTAATGGGAAAGCAATAACCACATAAGATAATGTTGGAAAATTGGTCTCCACTAAAGCAACATATATGATTTATCATTTTTTTTTTCAGCTCTCCACTACAATATACCATTAATTATCCACCCATGTATATCTCAGTACATCCCTAAATTTGTGATTATACATCATAGAAAAGTCTTCATCCTCATATAATTTAAAAAAAAAAAAAAAACATTACTGTAAAATCTTTAGTTTACAAAAAATTC